TACTAGTAACAAGTGCCTTACTAGTAGTAACAAGAAGCTACTAGGAAAAAGTGCATCGCTACTAGTAACAAGTGCCTTACTAGTAGTAACAAGAAGCTACTAGGAACAAGTGCATCGCTACTAGTAACAAGTGCATCGCTACTAGTAACAAGTGCCTTACTAGTAGTAACAAGAAGCTACTAGGAACAAGTGCATCGCTACTAGTAACAAGTGCCTTACTAGTAGTAACAAGAAGCTACGAGGCTCAAGGCCACCACTACTAGGTTGGAGGCTAGTCCCTACTAGGAACAAGGACGCTACTAGGCCGCTCCTAGGCTGGTCCAAACCTCTCAAATCTCCCTCGACCAAACAACACAATGACGCCGGAGATGCAAGAAATCATCAAGACATGCAAGACATAAAGTACTGAAAAATAGCTTCTTGTTACTACTAGTAAGGCACCTGTTACTACTAGCGTGGCACCTGTTACTAAGTATGCTTTCGATTCTTCGTCTTTTGACCTCGCAAAAAGTGGTTGTACTTCCAAGTCTCCGCTTTGTGAAAGGCCTTTGGTCCATATCTCACAAGACTCTCACCAGACTCTCACCACTCCCGCCTGCCACAAACATCGGCGGCCGTGGGGCCGCGGTGCAATCTTCTCCTGGAGGAGAACATCCGAAGACATCGATTGGTCATGCCTTCTGAGCATGAAAGACACCTAATAGGAATGGCCTCCAACCTAAGCAGTGTGTCAAAACCCAAAGCTCGGAACGCAAAACCCTGGTAGGTTGACTCCCTTGTAGTCTCATGTCTATTCTGTTCGTGGTCAAGCAAGGTCTCCCGGTTTTGAGACAGAGCCCAATCTTTTCCAAACTTGACAATCTCAGAAGGCACTTGGTACTAGAAGCGATGCACTTGTTCCTAATAGCTTCTTGTTACTACTAGTAAGGCACTTGTTCCTAGTAGCGATGCACTTGTTCCTAATACAAGATGTTGACCCCAGCTGCTATCGGTTTGCCCACCGGCTTTGCCTACCGTCTCCTGAGGGACCATGTTTTGCCAGCCATTGCCAGGAGTCCAACAGGTACTCAGTGTGCGCGGTCAGCGCCCGCAAAGCGGCGGTCGGAGAAGCTTCTTGTGCCACAGATTCGGAATCTTCAGGGCGCCCTACTTATGACATGGACCAGTAAGCTTTTCTTCTGAGGCAACAAATAACTGTTCACCAGGGCGATCTTATTCCGATCTTTCTGCCAGAATTGTGACATGAAGATCTTTGTGGCTCACTTTCCTGACTGATTCGACTTCGTCCGCTCTCTGGGCAAACACCATCGCCCCACGTCCTGGTCACAACCCCGCCAACCTCTTTGAGGTCCCGGGCATCTAAGATGGTGAGGTAGTTCCCCAAGGGCACCAGCAGGTAGTCTGGCACCTGCAGTTGGGACAGACCCACTCTGGGCGCCTGCACTGTGAACTCCACCGTCTTCGGTCGGTTGCTCATGGCCATTTGCCCTTGACCCATTGGAACCCGGAGAAACTTCGCCCATGGCGTCGCGGAATCGTCAGAGTGTCCCTGAAACCCAGGATCGTTGCTACAGTACGTGTTCATGGAGTTGGCCACCGGTTTCGTCATGGCTCATTTCATGGTCTTGCCAGGCCATCCGAACCAGGCCATCCACCCAAACCATCCACCGAACCAGGTCGGTCTGTTTCAGGTACGTGGTCGTCTATCAGCGCCGTGTTTCGTTCGTCCCTTTCGTCCCCGGTTTTTCGGAGCCCCACCAGAACAGCAGCTCCGGTGACCTGAAGCGGAGAGATGGAGACGAAACACCACGCTGAGAGACTGGAAGAGTTCAGAAAGCTTTTCAAGTGATTTTAGGAAGGAACTAATTCATCTAATACTCACATTTAGGATCTTTCAGGAAGGCTCAGAAGTCACATGCTTCTTTCAAGTTCCTTGAGGAGAACATGTTCTTTCAAGCGTGTGGAATGCTTCTTTGAATGGCTTTTCTTTGCACCAAAACTTTTAGCAGCAAGAGTTCTCGCAAACGACCCGCCGAACGTGCTCCTGCAGTTGACCAGCAAAGCCAGCAGAGCAGTCGTGACATGGAGAAAGTCTTGCAGAAACACTGACCGACGAGGCTTTTCTGTGGTCGTTGTGCGTCAAAGCACATTCAAAAGGACTAGAACAAGTGCCTCGCTAGTAGTAACAAGTGCCTTACTAGTAGTAACAAGAAGCTATTAGTTAATCACGACCACCGACTTTGGCCTGTCAAGGACTAGAATTCACATGTTGGATTGATCTTCCTGCTTCTCCGCCTGCGCCAAATTCGCGGCAAAGACGTCATAGGAGGCCTGCCAGAGTCACTCCAGATGACACGCTCTTTCTTGGACGTCCCCCTTTCTCCCTTGACGAAGTCCTTCAGCCTTCCTGGGATTTCGGTTTTCAAGAACATCTTCATGTTCAACATGGTTTGGTTATGTTTGGTTGCCGTTTGAGGTTGCTTATGACTCTCATCGGATTCTGCAAAAAACCAAGGATTCTCAATCTCCCGGTCCGAAGCTTGGGGCATCTTCTTCTGATCTCAGCCCATCGATCTACCACTTTTTCAACAACATCTCTCCGAGCCTCATTTTCTACACTAGGAACAAGAAGCTACGATCGGGGGCTCCTGGCCTTAGAGCTACGAACGGAGCGATCGGACGCTACGATCGGGGGCTCCTGGCCTTACTAGGAGCGATCGGACGCTACGAACCGTAAAAGGCGGCCTTGCCACGAACGGAACAGAAAACCCCCTCGGTCGTCTCCCCGATCCGGATCCATCGGTCGTCCACCTCTTTGGGCCCATGACGTTGCCAGCCGCCTCCATGCACCTCGCCGCGCTCAGACCGGTGACTCCAAACGGCGGGTGTACATGATCTGCAGGTATGTGAGAATGCAACTTCGCCTTCTGAAAGCCCTGAAGCTTCCTTTCTCTTGCATCCACCAACCTCCTGTGCCCCGAGCTCCGCACAAAAAGGATCCGTGGTGTACTGCAGTCTGCAGCCTGTCAACGATGTCCAACAGGACTTGGGTGTGCTCGATTGACAGGCCAAAGTCGATGGTCGTGATTAACTAATAGCAAACATTGTTACTACCAGTAACAAGTGCCACGCTAGTAGTAACAAGTGCCTTACTAGTAGTAACAAAAAGCTATTAGAATTAAAATAGAATTAAACTAAATTGACTAATAGCTTCTTGTTACTACTCGTAAGGCACCTGTTCCTAGTAGCGTGGCACTTGTTACTAGAAGCTTCTTGTTACTACTAGTAAGGCACTTGTTACTACTAGCGAGGCACTTGTTCCTAATAGCTTCTGACCGTCCTTCTCATGGAATGTGCTAGGTTTGCAGGATCTTTTGCACTGTCGGAAGGGTCCGTGGCCGCCATCCGTCGAACACGCCCAGGTCACAGCCAGGTTTCATGCTAAGTCACTGCAGCTTTCACCAACGACGTCGCCGCAAAGAATCAGCAAAGACTCAGGTGGTGACTCCCTCCGATGGAATCTCTGCGCTACCGCCCTGCGCTTCGACTGCCGGGCCTCGGGCCACCACAGCAGATCTTTGCCCCGGGTGCCTTTCACCCCCTGACGCGGCTGACGCGACGCGGAGTCCGCGCGCGGAGTCCGCGGAGCTGGGAAGACACAGTGCATCAGGACTGACATCCGACGTTTGGTGCAAAGCAGACTCTGACGCTGCTGAGGATGTGGGGGCAGTCGATGTCATGTGGTGGAACCATCTTTATCCTCTTTTAGCCACAAAAAGGCTGGAGACAAAAGTGTGCTTAACTCTTTGACAAGCATCAGGTATCTCTGAGACTCATATCCAAACTGTGCTTGGGAGAGATTCAGCTACCCCTTCAGCACCCACACTTTGCAGAGGCAAGCTTCGGAGGACTCTTGTGTTTTGAAGAATGAACTCAACAATCTCTCTGCTATCCTCTTGCTATCATAAACCCCGGTGAAGACCACCTGGAACGTCCATCGAACGCACCAGCTGCGTGCGTCGCCCCGGTCTTCACCCGAAAAACTTCCGGGTCCCCGGGCGTCGTTGCATTCAATGCCTGCAGCATCCTGGAGCACCCAGGATGGATCGAGACGGTTTTTCCGCCGATTTCCCCAACATGAAAACATGACGCTTCTACAGAACACAGGGGTGACCAACATGAAACGCATTTGTTTACATCATGGTTCTCCCAAGGCGCAATGTCTTCTTCGAAGCTCTTGAAATCATTGCATCTGACGGAAGGAGCCAAGGCAAAAGGGACTGCCAGATTCTAATTCTCTCTGCATGGTGCTTTTCTTCTGCTACTCTTGGAAATTCTTGCACAGCACACATTTGCTTAAACGCACAAGCATAAGCATCCCCTGGCCCTGTGCAGCAGTCTGTGGCTCCCCACGCAAGTCCACTCTGCCCCCGCTCGTGACACTTCCTCATGCCTCCGAACAGGCCGAGGAAGTGTAAAAGCACCGGGCACTTCGTCACGTGTCGACTGAAAGAACTTCTTCTCTGCTTGCCGACCATCCATCCTTCGTCTTTCTGCACAAAGCGCATGCAAATGCCCTGTCTTCCAGCGGGTTTTCGTCCCCTCTTCGCCCAGGTCTCAGGAACCGAACCTCACTCGGGTGGGGAGGCGCTGGTCCTCAGCGGCTCGGATCGCCCCAGCCGGAAACGAAGCACTCCAAGTAGCGTCCGTTCGGTTCGCGTCCGATCGCTCCGTTCGTAGCAAGGCCAGGAGCCCCGTTCGTAGAGTCCGATCGCTCCTAATAGCTTCTTGTTCCCAGTAGTAAGGCCAGGTAAGGCCAGGAGCAGCCAGGGGCTCGTGTGCCTCTTTCTCGCGAAGAAGAGAGGTTTCGAAAACGTCAGCGCCGCGGGAACGGCCGTCCCGCCGGTCCTTGCAACAGAGCGGATCCGCGATGAGGTGCCGATAGCAGTAGGAGTTCGTCTCCTTGGCCCGGTGTCGGAGAAAGGACCAAACCCTTAGCTGAGTGTTTTTTAAACCAGCAGGATCCAAGAACGTCGGATGATCCAAGAACTTGGGGTCCTTTTTGATTTACTTCAGATCTCTTTCTTTTCTCCATCAGAACACCTTGGCACTGATCTTTTGACACTTGATATCAACCATCCTTCATGTGGTCCAGTCCGGGAGGAGTCTTCGGTGAGCGAGGGTCAGCACAGCGGCCAAGGAGTCAATTAAAAAACACAAGGTGCTCAGTCGGTCAGCTCATTCTGGTCCGGAGTCCACAAAGAGCTCGCCCAGACATCGCTGTTTGGATATGCCACATCGACATAGTTCCACCAAATCACCACCGCCCCCCCCCTTCTTCAGCACGGAGTGCTGATTTCTCAACAAAATCACTGTGGCCCTCACCGTCATGTAGTGATGAAGGTTGTGGTCCAGCGTGAGAACGCCCTGGAGGCCGAACACGGAGCACGGCACTACACTGTGCGGTGGTCTTGGCACACGCGATTGGCCCAACCAAGGAGACTTGTTGGTTGGAGACTCTCCAAAACAAGGCCTTTTTCCGTGGAGCTTTGAATTTGAAAGTCAAGTTTCGATTCATGAACGTGGGGCAGTTTCGATGACGAGAACAGTTTGGAGGTCACGAGATAGTTCGATGACAGCTTCAGATCTTTAGAGATTTTGAGGGCCAACAAGGACGCTACGAACGGGGCTCCTGGCCGTACTACGAACGGAGCATCCTTACTAGGAACAAGAAGCTACTAGGGGCTCCTGGCCTTGCTATTAGGTTGCCACTCCTCCGCTTAACCGCAAATGAGGTCACGGCCTCCTGCGCCCTTGTCAGCTCCAGGAGCACCTGAAGCCACTCGCACGTGCCGGACACGTCCGGCTTTTCCATCAAAGGACGCCACTGGCGAATGGCCTCCCATACTGGTCTTGTGGGCTCGAAACGACCGCTGGCCACCCATGAACTATCCTTGGCAAACGTAGGGAAACCAAATACATCCAGGTGGAGAAACCAGATGAAACCAGGCTACATGACAAAAAGCCGCTGTCAAAAGCACAATAACTGAAATATATGACATTTCTTTTCCGTAAAAATCTTTGTAGTACGAGTAACAAGGGGTAAGTCTATCGAAGAATCACTTCACCATCGGTTTCCATCAAGGGCAGAATCCCAGCTGTATGGACGGCAACCGGCAAGCGGCGCATCGAAGGAAAAGCCTTTCGACCTTCAACTATCGGAAGAAACAAGACAGCTTCTTCACTATAGGAATATCTGGTGAAAAGGAAAAGCCTTGCGATTCTACCGAACGAAACAACACCGTTGAAACAAGCAACAACTCTTCTTCAACCAGACTTTCAGCTTCCCATCTCTGCGCACACTGAGCTTTCGGCCAACCCCAGCACATGCAGTTGCATCGGCATGATCCCAAGGCGCTTTTTAGCAGGGATGCCCCTGGTATACCGTATGATACAGTATGACACATGATGGCACTTTCACTGTTCGTCACTTCGACAAGCTGAAACACGCCACGCGCTGTGACTTGGAGTTCAACAAAAGAGCTTCAAAGTTGAGTGTTTGCCATACATCTTTGCCATAAAAGGAACCACGTCTTTCGTTGCCCTTCGTGCAAGCCTCTCAGTGCTTTCGCTGCGGCCGGCGGATCCGGCATTTGTTCCACCCAGCGATTCGAGGCGACAAGGAACCTCAGAGCGATGGCCTCCACCCTAGTAGTTACTACTAGTAAGGCACTTGTTACTACTAGCGTGGCACTTGTTACTAGTAGCGATGCACTTGTTTCTAGTAGCTTCTTGTTACTACTAGTGATGGCATTCTTTTCACCAGAACAATCTTATCACGGCCACCGCCCTGTCCCAAATGAAACCGCCTTTCATGAAAAACACACCCAGCCGCTTGGTCGGTCGCTCACCTCCGTGGTCCAGAAGGATCACAGGTCCCTTGGACAAAGAAACCCAGTAACAAGGGCATTACTACTAGACTACTAGTAGCAAGAAGCTACTAGTCGCTTCTTCAGTAGCAGCTAGCATGCACCTAGCCCTCCGAAAACATCTTCTTCGCGTCAATTGAAATCGATCATGGTCGTTTGGGCTGTGGTGTCACAACAATCCCTAAAAAGGCTGGACAAACTTCAGCTTCCACCACCCCCGCCACCGGAACGGCGCGGAAGCGCGGAACGGCCTCGCTGTTTCTAACGCGGCCGCGAGTCCGGCGGAGAAACTGGTCTTGGGGTGGGTCCGGACATCAGTCCAGAGACCCCCTCGACGATGTTCAACACCCAGCAGCGTCCCTGCCCGATCAACCGGCCCGGAAAAACCACATCTCTGGTTTGGGGGGATGTGGACTGGAGAACGATTGCTTTCGACTTGTCATTCATGATAAGCCTCCCTCTTTGATAGAAGACCTCGGGCTCCTGTCTGCCGTCTCCGGGAAGGAACACAGCTCCACCAGGTGTCTGTGCCAAGGCGATCGATGGCCATCCTTTTTCGATCTGAACGAATTTCGTGACCTTGGCCTCCAACCTACGAGCGATGGCCTCCAACCTAATAGCAAACTATCTTGGACCTTTCTTCCTCTTCTTTTCTTTGTTTCTAAGTGCGATGGCCTCCACCTAGAAAGACGTGGCTTGCACGTGTTGGCCGTTGTGTCTGGCTCTCGCACTGGCCAGCTACGAGCAAGCGCCCTCCATCTGTGATCGTCGAGAATGGGGTCCCTACCGAGTCCTACGGTGAAGGCATGTCGAATTCTGAGGAGCAAAGGCAACACACACACAATGTTCGCTACTAGGGGCTCCTGGCATCGCTACTAGGAGCAAGGACGCTACTAGGGGCTCCTGGCCTTACTACTAGGAGCAAGAAGCCATTAGGAACACAACACAAGGAGATCTATGATGTCGACCTTTTTGGAACGATTTGTCTACAGTCTTGACTCTTTTTTCTGCTTCCGTTCCAAACCCACAAAGGGTCCATTCCAGGAAGGACGGCCACTCCAAGTCAAAAATGGTGACTTAAACTAAGCTGAGCGTTGTGCGTCAACCTGAGCTATCATCCTTTTTCTTGCGTTGAACGTGTCCTTTTGTTCGTTGTCATTCGGGAAACATGCAGGTTCTTCGTGCCAAAAACGCCCAGGTCGACACATGCTGTAGCAGATTGTACAATGAAAAAGAGCTCCAACCGCAACGTCGCATCGTGAGCTTTTCTTTATACAAAAATCCTCGCTGCCCGATCGTCCAGATCCGTCAACAGGCGTCTTCGTGCGGAAAGCTTTTGTGGCTAACAACATCGAAGAAAGCAGTGACGTGATGCGTTTTTCCCCAAAAATATCTTCCTTTCAAGAAGATGGCTCCGTCATGAACGGCTATGGCATGTCTCAAGACTTTGTTTCACCGCCCGTCCAAAGGCAATGTCTCACTCAGCATGAGAGTGTATTCTCCTGGCTGTGGGCACAATCGCAAAGACCGACCGGCTCGTGGTTTCTCCCTCCCTGCGAGGTTGACTCGCTCGCGACTGGATGAGGTTTTCCAGGTGAAACGACCCCCCCCGCGACTCTGCACATTGAGACTGAAGAACCCCCCAGGCCGTCGAGATCGGCTTTGTGTAGATGATCATAACGGATTCTTGTTACAGATGCCAGGTGCAGTGAACTGGACGTCTGTCATCAGCACCGGTGTTTTCAGTGTTCTCCCCCTTTACATCTGTCACATCTCCCTTGGCTCGTGTGGTCAGATGGATCTTTTACAAACAAATGGAGTCGAACAAAGGGCACACATCTGGGAGACGGACAAAGGATTGAGACCACGACACATCTGAATCCAAGTGGCCCAAAAAAGGGAAGAACTCTTCACTTGATCAATGGTTAAATTATGTTAAATTGGAACACTAATAAGCTCATATATATATATACATATATAACCTAACCAATCAATTATACTTCTTTGAACCACAAAGACCGCAGATCTGTCAGCCGTGACCGGAGGACCGTCGACTGCACTGAGAGCCCCCAGCTCGAAGCTGCTTCTGCACCTGGAAAAGGCGGCCCAGCGGTTGAAGCATTTCTGGCGGTGGATGCGGTCTCCAAGAGCTACTAGTAAGTGCATCGCTACTAGTAACAAGTGCCTTACTAGTAGTAACAAGAAGCTACTAGGAACAAGTGCATCGCTACTAGTAACAAGGCCATTACTTCGTAACAAGAGACCCTTCGTCTTCGTCTTCGCCCTTCGTTTGGCTCCAGCGGATCTGCAGCCCCTCAAAAAGGCTCCCCAAGGGCGATTGAGCGACATCCAAGTTTTTCCGAAAGGTTCATCGCCCAAACCCAGTTGTTCTCCGCCCTCCATCGAAATAAGTGTGGAAGACCCACTTTGAGGAAGGTTTATGTTCGAATTCGGTGGACTGGGACTTCACCGTAGGACCAACAAGCGACATCCAATCGTTGTTCCTTCTTTCCTTCTCTCTTTTTGTATGTCTTCTTCAGACCGCCAACCCACTCCACCCCCCCAAAAACACCCCTCTTTCCTCCCGCCACTCCTTCTCACTGTTCCCACATACCTTCCAGAGACCTCCGCACCTCCTTAGGCTGGAAGCCCACCGCGGCGTGGGCCCATGACGTTGCTCGGGGGGGCCTAGGGCACGCCACGGTCGGGGTCTGAAGCACTGGAGTGTGAGGCATTGGAAGATGAAGGGAAGCACTGGAAAGGACACCTTCAGAGAGAGAGAGAGAGAGAACTCAAATGATGTCGAGTTCTGCCAGCAACAGACTGCAGCTGTAGCTGACAAGCTGAACCCCATCTGGATGATTGTCAACAGCATAGACCTCATAGACCTCTTCAATTCCAAGGTCTTTCAACTGGTCTTTCACTCTCACTTTGTCCATCTGATTTCCCCCCAACCAAACTCAAACAACGAATGCCTTCCATGTCCCCAGCCACCTCACCCGCTCGGCTTCCGCACCGGAGGGCCCAGGCCCAGGACGTTCACACATCGGAGGTCCTCGCCGCAGACGGCCGCACGCGGATGAAGAGGAAGCGTCCTAAATCACTAGTAGTAAACACGATATTGTTTCTAATAGCAAACATTGTTACTACTAGTAAGGCACTTGTTACTAGTAGCGATGCACTTGTTCCTAGAAGCTAAAATCAAAGAAAAGGAAGTATCCAAAATCACTTTCCCAATGCCATCACTTCTCCCATTCCCCAAAAAGAACTTCAAAGGGAGTTTGCTTTGGACATGGGCCGTGAAGTGCGCTGGGCTCACCTTCGCCGCATGGCTCACACTTCAACCTCCCGCCTCGAAGCACTGCTCCATTCGCTGCACGGTGGACTCCTGGCCGAGCGTGAGAGAAACCTCCAGAACAAAGAAGGAACCGGAGTCTTTTTACAGGGCCGCAGGACGCACTTTGGGGGGGGAAGGTGAAGGTGAAGCTGTAGAGACTGATGCAACTGATGGGGGGGGGTGAGTTGAACAATGCACCAATGCACCCATCAGGAGTCCTGAAGGAGGGAAGATCGATGGGAATGAGGGAAGGCGCGCTGGTGAAGCACCAAGATCGCTTGCGTTCCCACGAGTCCTTTTGTTCCCAGTGGCTGCGTGTTCCACCCCCTGAATGGCACCAGGCATGGCCCAGGTCGGACTCGGGGAGAGAGTGCTGACTCGCTGACTCTCCCTCCTCGGCGGAGCGGATGCAGGCTCGGGGATCGTAGTACTTCTTGTTGGGCTTGTCCTCACCTGGCGATCGACGATCGATGGCACCGGTGACAGACCAGACCGATGGACAGTCCGTGTCCATGGAGTCCTTTGGCGTGGAACAAAGGTCGGTTGTGTGTGAGGAGTGGAACCAGGTGGAACGACTGGAGGGTTTCCACCGTGCAACATCAGGTCGATCCCAACTCCACAAGCCAGAGAACTTCATGCCGAGAGAGGCACAGTCTGCCATCGAATTTGAACGTAACAGCCTGGTATGCTGTTCTTTTTTTGCAGTTATGCTCTGGCACCAGCACCGATGGCGTGCCAGCGCTCGAAATAAAAATACTTGTGCCCTTACCAAGTGGTCCATCCATGGCCCAACTGAGTGGTCCAACTGACTCTGAGTCGCCCGACCGTCCGGGTTGCCGATCTGAGTCTGCAGGTAGTCATGGTATTTGGTCTGCGATGTGTGCGCGGGACCAACGCAACGCATGGAGGGGGGGGG